CTTCTTTTGATGAGTCTGTAAGACCCAGGGAAGGCAAACATGGGAACTCTGAGTGACCACTGAGAAGGAGGTGCCTGACAGGAGGTAGGCAGCCCTCAGGCCTCTCGGCCAACTCCTCTGGGTCTGTAGCTGACCCCAGCTTACTGCCTGACACAGTCTGCCCTGCCTTCTGAGCAGGGAGCAGCAAGCCTTGAGCCAGACCCATTGACAAGGTCAGCCAGAGTCTGCATCCTAGTTTTCTCCTATGACTTCCTCTTGTTCCCTAAGTCCTACTCTTCTCTACCCTCCCAGTGTTCTTCTGGTTCATCCTCACTTTGGGCCTTGGTCTATAGGTGCTCAGAAGACAGGTCTTATGGTAAAGGGCCCAGCAGAGGCCACTATGGTCTCTGAAAGCCTTCATCTTCAAGAACTGGTTTTCCTAATGCTAGGCTACAAGCAGCAGATAGGGCTCTAGGCAGAGGGCTCTAGACAGATGCCTATTCCGCCTTAAGGCCTGGAGGCCCAGGGGGAACAGGGCTAAGAATCCAGCCTGGCAAGGGCACATGCCAGCCCTGCAAACCCAGAGGTACTCCTCACCAGTCCCACTGAGCCCAGCAGAGTACAAGGGAAGGAAACCATCCACACAAACCACTCCATCATTTAAGGAGCGTCTAAGGCCAAGGCTCCTGAGGAAAAAACTCCACAATTCGGGAGCAAAGTAGGGAACGCGATTCAGCCCACTTCTAAAAGCCCATTCCTTCCTCCAGAGCATAAGGGTCTCAACCCAGGGGACAATTTCCCTGAAGCAGCATGTTTAGCCCATCTGTGTGAAAGGCAGTCAACAGCCCTTGGCCTACAGAACTTGGCATGCCTACTCCCATGAGAAGAAGCCTGGCTGGGCCAAAGGCATGGGTGCTGCAGAATATGAATGACAGGCCCCAAAAGACCTTGAGCAACCAGCACACAAGCCCTGGAGACGGGGTTGTAGTTGGACACCCGTCAGCTTCTCCTCCTGCCAACCCACTGGGGCTTCCTGGTGGGAAAAACTCTGGATTTGCAGGATATAACCTGGATAGTTCCTGGAGAGAGGAAAAGAAAGGATCCTTCACCAGGGCTACTACTTAGCCTGGCTCAACTAGAAGAAAGGATGGAAGAGACAGAATGACCCATCACAAGCCCCCTCCAAATCCCACACAGGCCTCTGGTGCTAGGTAATGATCCTAGACACAGCAACGGCTCTAAGGAGCCCCCACACTGGTCCAGCACACCCCACCTCCTGGCTGAACTATCCTTTATAGGCAAATACCTGAAAAACACAAAACACACCCAGATGGCAGAGCCAGGGGAGTGCAGTCCTCCCACATGGGACTGAGAGGCCCTGGCTTCTTGCTGGCATTGTGCCCCATCCCCAGAGAGTACAAGCTGGCAGAACTGACCAGTGGAAGCCAGAGTTGAGAGGGCATGGGCAGTAATGTGCCTGCAGCCTTCTTGGCCCATAATCCGGGGAGTCTCTCATTTGAGGAAGACTTGGGGGAAAGGGCGCCAAGAGTCCACTGACCCAGGAGCAAGCTTACCCAGGACGTCATTGGTAGAGAAGGCAGTGCCAGTGAAGGCAGCGGAGGAGCGTAAATATTGGTGAGGTTCAGTTCCTTGAACTTCTTTCCAATCAGGTTCAGAGCTTTGTCTACATGATGCTGAGAGCCTAAAGTGGGGTGGGGACAAGACAATCACTATGGGAAAGAGAAAAGTCATAGCAGAAACAGACTCACCTACCACACCCCATTGCACAGGACTTCTGGAGTTCAAGGGCATCTTTTTCTTTTTTTAATATTTATTTTTTAGTTGTAGTTGGACACAATATCTTTATTTTATTTTTATGTGATGCTAAGGATTGAACCCAGGGCCTCACACGTGCTAGGTGAGTGCTCTACCGCTGAGCCTCAACCCCAGCCCTCAAGGGCATTTTTAAGTTGTCAAAATGCCAAGCTTTGATTTAGAAAGAAGGTCATCTAAGCCCATTAGCCTTTCAAGTGAGATCTCTGTCATTTTGACCCAGGCTGTGAATGCAGAGGGAGGCAGATAGATGGGAAAAGCCTGGCTCTCCTGTGCTCGGTGAGGGAGCCTACGGGAATGATGGGCACCATAAACCCAGGACCCTGGCCCTGCTCTCCCACCCCATACTTCACATGGCCAGAGATCAGGTGAGGAAGGACCCACATATCTCCTTCAAACCCCTAAACTGAAGAAGAAAGCCAGAGGGAAGGCACCCAGTGCTTCTTCCACCTCAGGCAAGAAGCCGTTTCTAGCAACTGAGACTCAAATGCTTCCATGTACTCACACTGCAAGTAAGAAAAATAAGCACTGGGCAACAGGTACCACTGACCTTCTATGTGGCAGATCTGGATGTTCTGGGTGTAAGGCAGGGTTGAGATGTAGATCTTGGCACCAGATGTTTGCTTCAGGAAACTCACATACCGCCCCTGCTTGCCGATTAGCCGACCAACTAAGTGCTTCCCAGGAGAGAGAGGGGAGGGTTAGCAGGAAACCAATTCCTCACATCCCAAAGACCTACTTTTTTTATTATTATTTTTTTTTTTTAGATGTTGATGGGCCTTTATTTTATGCATTTATTTATGGTGCTGAGGATCGAACCCAGTGCCTCACACATGCTAGGCAAGTGCTCTGCCACTGAGCCCCAGCCCCAGCCTCCCAAAGACCTACTTCTGTTTTACTGTTTAGCTGTTACTATGTCAGCCTTTTTTTGCCCAGACAGTTCCAGGCACTCATATTCACTCACACTACCTGTGAAACAGATAACACCTTTATCACCATTTTACAGAGGAAAGAACAAACCCAGAGGCCAAGGAACCCACCCCAGGTCACACAGCTGCTAAGCAGTTGAACAAGGCAGTCTGGCTGCAGGACCCAACAGCTCCCATCTCATCCCAACAAGGTGGCCCAGACTGAGAAGCCTTGGGGGCAACCTTGCTTCCTCCAGCTCACGCATGAGCAGTTTCAGCAGCAGAAGGGCTGATAGGATTCCTCACAGCCCTGCTTTTCCAAGACTGCTCAGGACCAAAGGAAAAGGGCTCTGTTTCCAAGTAAAGCACCTAAGGACACTTGGGCTCTTACTCAAGGGACGGCGGGCTGGAACCTTCAGAGCTCAAGACATGCAGAAGTGCCCAGTGCGCCAGAGTTCAAGGCAGGCAGGCAGAAGCCAAACTTAGCCATGATGTAAGACAAGCTCCAGAACAATCCCAAACGACCCCTCCCCAGCAGGGCTACGAGGGACATTTTCCTCCACACCCAGGGCCTGCCTCAGCAATCGGTGTTTACAGAGGACATGGCAACAAGGAGACCAGGGGAGGAAACCACCACAGGAGCCAGCAGCCTGGGGTCAATACAGCCATCCTGACTCGAGTTCAGGGCAAGCCAGGTCTCTACCTCTGCACGGAGCCAAATGCCCTGGGACAGCAGTCTAAGCAGACTGCCAGTTATTTCTGAGCCCCAGAGATAACAACTTATTAGCTTGATTTTTAGGTTTAAGTTATAATAGCAAGATTAGACTACTGAAGCAACCCAGGAACTGGGGACGGGCGAGGCAAACTGCCGTTCACACAATGAATAATGCAGTCAAAATTACGTTTTCAGAGAATAACAAGTAAATTAAATTGTTAAATATTTAAAAGTATTAATTAAAGCAACATAATCTCAGTTTTGTTTAAAAACCACAGGGTGTGAGACGAGAAGGAATTAAGTCTTTGCAGTCACTCTCAAGGGTAGGATTAGAGCTGGTTTTTATTTTCTTCATACATTTCTATACCATTCAAGTGTCTCTGAAACACAGTTTTATGCTTTGCTTGATTATAAAATGCACTTTACACGGGAGAGCTGGAGTGGGGGCTCAGGGAAGGGGGACTGCTGCCCCAGTCCTCAGTCTGATTTGCACTAGCAAATCTGCAGACAGAATCGAGCCCCAGCACAAATGAGGAGACAGGGAGAGGGCAGGCCCGAGACTTAGAGGACAAGAGTAAGAGGTCACTGGAAGAATCCCATCCACAGCATAGTCTGAACCTTGGCAAGCTTCAGGACTTCGGCTCACTAGGGACCCCTTCTGATTCACTGGTCTCCCCTACCCTGGGGGACAGAAAACTCAAGCTTGCCACAGAACTTGGCTCTGGGGGATGCAGCCTTCCTTACCTTTGGCACTTCAATCTCCCAGATGATGAGGTCAACCTTTTTAGGGTTGGAGCCTGCCTGGGCATTCTGGAAACTGTCGGTCTTCTTGAGGCCACAACAGCTATCCACAGAATCCATGCTGTTCCCGTCGGAACCTGAAGAAAGGAAGCAGCATGCACACACAGACCCAGCTCAGAGCTGTCGACAGCCACGACTTCCAAAATCCACATTACTAGGAGTTCCCTCCACCCCTCAAGTTGGCAGGTGACTGTTAACTCATTCTAGAAGGTTCAGAGAAACCCCAATGAAAGGAGGCCTAGGGGTATCAATACTCCTAATTTTAGCCTGTCACTACAGTCCCACTTGCTTATTTGGCAGCCACGCCCAGCCACAGCTGCTAGAACACAGACACAAGTGGTCAACTGGGAAGAAACTGACTTCACGCCCAGGGAGGGGAGTGCATGGTGGGGGAGGGGACAATCCACTGGTCCACATGGTCCCAGGAGCTGATCTGGACTGCCACCTCATAACCATCTTGCCACCCTTCCAAGTGTCCCATCCCCCCTTCAAACCAAAAGTGTCTAGTCCCAAGGCCTCAGGCCTAGCCTCATCAAACAGAATAAGACAGAGTCTCTTTGGCTTGTCTAGTGGCCCCACTCTCATCTCCGATAGAGACCTCACTTGTTTCTCTGGCAGATGTGGACAAAGGAAGGACAGCCTTCTTTCCCTGACTTACGCCTGGCTTGTGCAACTCTGAATTCTTTTGGGGGCTCAAATATCCTCTGTTCAAAAGATGGAGCTAAGCTCATTCCCAAGAGCACAATGGGAAGGGGGACCCTGGCACCAACTTGAGCCCAGGCCACAGCAAAGGAAACACTGCAGAAAAACAGGGGTCCAGATAGTTTAAGAGAAACAGCTCTGGCTTAAATATGGACAACTCAATACCTAGAAACAGATCACTCCTGCGAGTCTACTATTTAGGTTATTTTTCATGTAGGTTTCCTGGACCCTAGACATAAGCCTCTGCCAATCAATCCGTGCACTGCCTAGATACAAAGGACTAAGGCTAAAGAGTCTGCTCCCAGCAAAGTCACCTTCAAAGTGACCTTTTCTCTCTCAACACCAGTGGCTTGGAATAGGCTCCTAACAGGGAAAAACACTCCTGAGGGAGCTGCTTGACCAGCTTGCTGGAAGCAGGACAGGGTGATGGAGGCTCTGCTCATTTTCAGCCATTGTCCAACAGAACTGGAACGACCAACACCTGTACCCCAGTGGCACCCAGGAGTGGCTCAGAATCACGCCAGGCGTTTAGCAAGCTGCATTCAAAGGCCAGCTGCCAGCACCCTAAGCTTCAGCTTCCTCACGCTCCAAGCAGGAAACCCTTTGCCTGGTGCTCAACACTCCCTGAGCACCGATGGTCGGTGTCACATGCTCTGACTGATCAGCTACCCCTAAACTTCTCCACCTATCACAGGAGACTCAGAGCCTCCTTGTCTGCAAAGTTACACTCAGAAGCCCTCAACCCATCAGAACAGGTAGGATGATCAACCCAGAGCTGACACAAGACTGGGGGACTCATTAATTAAGCTGAAGGGCAACAGGCAAAGGGAAATTCTTAAAAAAAGAAAATAAACAAACAAATAACCTTGTTTTACCCATTTTAAGATACAATTTTTTAAAAAGCATTTTAACATTAGGCTATTGGTGGGCAGCATTTTCTTCTAGAGGTAAACAATAGTGGTCTCAGTCAACAGCACTTGGGGTGATAGAACAGCGCTGTGTACACCAGATGCTGCTGAAAGCAGTAGAACACCTTAGAGAGAGTCCCAAGCTTCCTGGATGGAGCTGAATTGGTAGGGAAGGGCTCCAGGACAAGCAAGTCAGAGAGCCACTTGGGAAATCATGACATTCTCTAAAATACATAAAAATATCCCAGAGGGGAGCCGTAGAAGCAGGACCAGGAGCTGCTGACCTGTAAGTTAGCGGTCTGAACTGTCTACGCTGGGGTCAGCACTCGAAAAACCCAGTGGCACTTCGTTACCAAAGTGCCCCTCTTTCCCAGGGTGGAACTGCAGCTGCACAGAAAAAAAATGGCTGAGACTGTGAAGGAATAGGTGACAGCGACAACCGAGGAACGCTTGAGCCTCCCCAGGGACTCAAGGCTGTGGCCGTTCATGGGACACTTACCCTGAAAGAGCTTCTGGAGAAGGAAAGCCGGTGAAGACATGGAACAAGCACAGGATTAAATGGAGGTCAACCACTGAGCAAACTCCCCAGACCTGGCACTGGGGGAGATAGCTAAGAGGCCTCTCGATTAAAGACCCACTAAGAGTTCGGGCTCTGAGGAGAAGAGGCACACCAAGGCTGACCGGTGGACCCCACTTTGAACTGGTTCCTTCTAAAAGGCTAAGGAGGCTCCCTGGCTGGTGAGCCAAGCCACAGCTCCTGTGGCTTTGGGGTCTCAGGACAGTGTGGCTTCTCATCAGGTCCCCACCAGCTCTGCCACACCCACCTCTCTGCGGGCCCCCTGGGACACAGAGTTGAAGAGTGCCTTCACTTTGCTACAGAAATGGCCAGAGGGAGGGACAGCCTAGCAGCTTTTCCCTAACAAATAAGGGAAGCCCTCCCCTGATCCTCCAGTGAGCCCCCGGGACCCACCTACCTCCCGAGTGATCTGCTTCTGCATCCGCGGTCCATCCATCCTCAGTCCCCAAGTCTGACAACTCCCCTTTCAGCACCCCATTACTGAAGGGCACAGTACTGTCCGGCAGCGGCGGGGTGATGGCCTTGTCCCTGGGGCTTGAGTTGGTCTCTGTGCAAGAGTCTTCGAGCCCTGAAGTGCTGACGGAATCCGAGCACTGCCCGGAGGAGGCCGCGGAAGGAACACTCTGGCTGGCTGACACACAGGTAGCACAGGTGGCATCTTCCGCCAGAATGCTTGCCTCGTCCACTGACTCTCTGAGGGGGCTCGCTGGAGGTGGGCAGGGAGCCAGAGAGATGTGGTGTGCGGAGTTCTTTGGCTTACTGTCCTTGGTGGGGCTGGACAGTGGGCTGCTCAGGCAGCTCACATAGGTCTTTGGTGAAGGCAGGTTCTCTGCTGGTGGGCCTGGCAAGGGAAGGGCAGGATCCACTGGACCAGAGGCTGCCCCCACCACGGCTGGAGCAGCCTGTGCAGTGTCTTGCCCCAGGACAGTTTTCTGGCTGGCTGGGGCACTGCTCTCCGCCTGCCCTACGGTCGGACTGCCTGAGGCCTGATATAACTGATCTGCCATCTTGTCCCCCGTGCTGGCCAGCACCTCTTCGGTTGCTTCCAAGATCACCTGGGAGATTATCTGGAAGGCAGCCTGCTCAATCCTCTCATTCTTATCCAAGCTCTCCTTTTTGCCTAGTTCTGCCGCCATGTCTCTGTCCCAGGTACTGTCATCTTGGACCTCAGATGCCTGCATCTCCTCATCCTTTGCCAGCTCTGCGTGAGCCAACTTGCCAGAGCTACTTAACAATTTTCCAACTGCAGACTCTTCTCTGAGAGGGGAGAAGGGGCCACCGCTCCCCTTCTCTCCTCCGCCTCCCAAGGGGGCCAGGCTGAGGGCCTTGCTATTCTCCAATTCTGAGACACGCTCCTGGGACAACAAGCCTTCTTCAAGCACGTTTTCCCCCAACATTGCGTCACCGGTCCCCTCGGCTCCACGCGTCTCTCTTGCCTTCTCCCCAGGGCTTTGCTTCTCTGCAGCACACACAGACTGGCTGGGCCAGCCCCTCCCTGGTGCCTTACTGAACACTACCTCTTGCTTACACACCTCTATGGCTTCGTGGGGGAACACCACATCCTTGGGAGATGGGAGGGGACACTCAAGAGGAACAGATCTGGTTTTGTCACCCATCAGGGCGAGTTCCACCTTTGCAGTGTCATCTTTGTGTGTTCCTGGTTGAGATCTTGTGTCTGTGGGGTTAGGGAGGCAGCCTGAGGACTCTGATCTGCGACAGGTTGGGTGTGTGCGCAGCGAGGCTAGGGGCTCCACAGAAGGCTTGCTTGCAGTGGACTGTTCCTTTTCTAGTGGCTGTGTGACATTGCGGGGTGTGGACACAATTCCAGGACAGGCTTCTTGTATGGGGAGCGATTTCTTGATGTCAGGGCTGGCCCTCAGCACCACACTACCAGCGTCCACCTTTTTATCATTGCTGCTGACCTGCTCTTTTTTACGAGAGAAAAACCACCACCAGCCGAGGAGCGCCAACATTCCAGGCAATGCCAAGGGAAAGAGTGAACGGAAATGGATTGCCATCCTGGAGGCCTGAAGTAGTTATGCCTGGGAAAAGCAGGAAGACAGGGAGAGACATGGGGTTATGAGAGTACAGGCACTGCACATGAACATGCTGAATTAGACCTTCATTGGGGTGTTTTGTTGCAGAGATAAGAAACATCAGTGCTTCAGCATTCTCTGGGTGGTTCTGACATTCAGCTGAAGGTTGAGAACCAATGCTCTAGGACCTTTCTTTTAAAAGTATAGTCCAGGGACCAGAATCCTGTGTAGCACCAAGGAACCTGCCAGAAATGCAGCACCTTGGCCCCACCCCAGAACTACTGAGTCAGGGCTGGATTTTAAGATGCCCAGAAGAACATGAGCACATAACAATTAGAAGGAATGCGAGGAGATGGGATTTACCCCTGGAGCGCAGGGGTGAGGGAGTGTGCAGCGAGGTCATCTCCAGGAAGTCCCTCTATGTTTAAAAATGAGCTTCCTTGCTAATATCTGAAGATAAAGCAATGAGACTAGAAAGTACAGAGCAAGGCTAAGCAGTGGCCAAGGCTCAGATGACTTTATAACCCACCCCCAGATGGAAAGCTTCAATGATGCTACCTTATCACTTCACAAATGAATAACCTTGATAGATGCTTTCCTTTGTATCACTTAATCCTCAGACCACTTGATAATACAAGGAATGTATTTCCTTGAAGGCTAAAATACACTCAAGGTCATACAACCAAGGAATAGGAACACAGCTTCTATTCCACATCAAATCTGGAACTCACTAGTTAGTGGACTCCTAGGAAAGACATATTGTGTGGGCCAAGAAAAGAAGAAGTCTATACTACCTTTTTGGAAAGCTTTAGTAACAGTTCATGAAACCTTATGAGCCATACCCTAACAACCCCAAAATCCCACACCTGCAAGCTTAAAACAAAAAACTCTGTAGGCTGAGGTCTACCTAAGAATGCCCATTAGGGTATCATTTGAAACAAAACTGGAATTACTTTTTCAGGGAAAAATCACTGCTAAATATATTGTAGAATTCATGAGTAGATATATTAGGGTTAGAAAAAGAAGCTGGTTTTGCCAAGCGTTGTGGCATGCCTGTAATCCCATGGGCTCAGAAGGCTGAGGCAGAAAGATCATGAGTTCAAGGTCAGTCTCAGTAATTTAGCAAGGCCCTAAGCAACTCAGTGAGACCTTGTCTCTAAATAAAATATAAAAGAGGGCTAGAGATGTGGCTCAGTGGTTAAGCACCCCCGGGTACAAAAAAAAAAAAAAGTTGGTTTCATGCATGGAAAAAAGCAGAAAACAGAAGTTAGAGACTACTGGGTATGCAATGTCTACTACTGTGTATGCAATCCCGTGGAAAAACCAGGAAGGACATACACATGGCCATCCAGCTGGGGAAAAGGAAAAGTTTTTGCACTTTTCATTTCATATCCTGCGACCTTGATGAGTTCATTTGTTAGCTGGAATAGTTTTATTTTGGGGCAGATTTCTTATCTACAAATATTTCATAGTGGTTCTCCAACTTGAAGCATTACTGGAGGAGCTTTTAAAAGCCAAGGCCAAGAGGAGGATGTAGCTCAGTGGTAGAGTACAATGTGAGGTCCTGGTTTCAATACCCTAGTACATCAAAAAAAAAAAAAAGAAAGAAAAAGAAAAAGTTCAAGGCCAAATCAATCTCTGAGGGATAAGAATCAATACCAGTTCTTTTGTTTCTGTTTTAAACACAGATAATTTCAAATGTAGTCAAGTTTGAGAATCACTGTTCTGTAACCTCCCTCTCCCCAAAGAAAGTAGATTACAGGAGATCTGCTATGTAGTTGCTTCGTGTTCAGTGTCTTTCATACAAAAGAGTAAATAATTTGAGACAGGAAAGAGGGAGACTGGTACACTAGGATGTGTCCAGTCTGGTGGCAGAGAGCAAGTCCTACCCAAAAGGGCATGCTAACAGGAAGTCAAGCTGGGGTTGATCCCAGGCCAGTACATTTAGATTCTGATTGCTTATTAATTAGGCAATCCTCCCGCACCCCTTTTATTTTAAACAGTGCTAGAGATTGAACTTAGGGGACTTGCACGTATTAGGGAAGCACTCTACCACTAAACTACATGCTCAGCCCTTTTAAAATTTTATTTTTGAGGCAGGGTCTCACAAAGTTACCCAGGTAGGCCTCAAATTCATGCTCCCCCTTCCTCAGCCTCCTGAGTAGCTGGGATCACAGGCATGTGCCACCATGCCCAGCACGCAATTCCTTTTTAGCAGGGTTTGTGGAATGGGATCAAGAAAACAAATCCTAGCAACCACTGCCATAGAAGGCAGATTTCCCACTTAACACACCAAAGCCCAAGGCTGCAGATTCAAATTGCAGTATGTGAGGAAGGGGCTGTTCTCCAAACTTATCTCCTAAACCAGCTGGGAAAGCCCTGCCCCTTCAGAGCTAAAAGCTGATCCCCAGAGTCCTGCTTCTCCAGCAGTTGCTAGTGACATCACCCCGCCTATGGGGGAGCTGGCTACACTTCTATAAGGAGAGACTCCACATTCAAACATGCACTCCAGAGTGGGCCTGGGTCCTTCACCCTGGGTGATCCACACTGTGATTCAGTCCTCAACCCACCACATCACTGTCTTCTCCCCAATCATCCTCTGTTCCCAGTCCTCACTCAGAACACCAGGGTCACAACACAGGTCCTGCCTGCCACTCTAGCATATCACACTACCACTGCTACTCACCCACCCAAGTCCCAGCCCAGTTTGCTCCCTGGAAATTGGGGCCCTAAGCCCCTAGCTCTATCACTCCAACAGAGAGTTAGCTGTAGCTACTCAGCTGAGACTACAGCCCAAGAAACATGGTTGCTGTGGCATTTCCATGCCAGAGAGCCACTGTTGTGACAGGAAGGTTTCCGGGGAGGCCTTAAATACTATTCACCTGAGACCACCCAACCAATAAAATCCAGAATGATCCCCCGGGATTCCCAGTGCCCACCACTCTCCAGCCTCCATCCCTTAGAGGCTAGAGCCAGAGACCCACTGCTGAGGAACCAAGAGTCACCTCATCTGTACAGGGCATGGCTCTGCACCAAGTCCTTCTCCCGGTACCTCATCACACTCAAGACCAGAGGCAGGAGATCTTCAGAGTCTAAACATGGACAGGGTTTATTTTTTCTTAGCTATCTGAGCACTGTGATTAGAGATAGGAGGCATCCTCCACCAAGAACAGCTCCCCTGGGATCAGCAGCCACCTGCCCAAAGGCCTTGGATGCAGCCCACAAACCTTGTGGGATCTCACTAAGGGTGCCCATTGCCAGGAGGCATCTGATGCCCCTCCCCCAGCCCCCACTTCCCACGGGTCAGAAAATGGCTGGCCCCTCACTTCCTCACTAAAGTCATCTCAGGTCAGCTAAACAGACTCTCTGCCATATTCCCCAGCTGACAAGGTCTGATAGGCCTACTGGAGGTGGCATAAGATGCACCAACCTTTCCCAAAGGTCCACACTGGGCTGCCTGCACACACATGCACCCTTTCGGCCTCACGAGGCCTTCCTTCTCTGGTAGACTGAGTTGCCATCTTTGTCGTGGGTGTTTTTTAAACTTGAATTTCTCAGGGCTTAAATGATTTGAACACCACAGGTCCCAAAGCCTTCATGTTCACAATCTAGCTGGAAGCTGCCTCCCAGGACATCTTTTTCTGCAGCCAGGGAAAGCCGCCCACAGGATGCTGTAGAACCCTGCCCTAGGGTTGGTGGGAGAACTCCTGGCTATTTTAAATCTGTTGGAATTAAATAGCTGCCTGCTTATTTTTAGCAGGTCCATTTGCCAAGAAATAGATGCACGCTGGCTCATTGCCAAACGGTCACACAGAGCTAAAGGCAGGCACGAGCTACATCACAAGGCCTTCACATTCTCCTCACTCCAGGTTCTAAAACGACCCCTTCTTTCTCCAAAGAGGTACCTGCAGCTTCTCAGAACAGCCTTTGGAGAAGTAATGGCCTCATCCCAACCCAGTAACCACAGTCTAGATCCTTCTGGCTAAACAAGAAAACAAATCCCTGGGAATGGGACAAAAAAGTGTTGGTCCCAGTGACTAAGCCAATTTGGCTACAGTTACTGTGAAAAAGAGCTGCACATAATTGACAGGAAAGTCAAACATAACAACAGTATAGGAGCCAAAAGCCCAAGTTTATTCTGGGTTTGGACCTGGTCAATGGACCCACATCCACTTTGTGTTCTGAATGAACACTTACACATCCTCTCAACCAGAATTTGAACATTTCTATCACCATCCCAATGTTCATTTTGCCAATGGCTGTTCCAGGGTGTTAACCACCAGGAAGGTGCCTACCCAAGATATCCCACCAACAGAGTGCCTGGCACAGCAAGCTCTAGCTGAAGGCAGGTCCCCTGGAAGGGGGACTTTCCCTGCAGAGAATCATAACTGAAAGCCCAGTGCTCTGCTCCAGCATCCAGAGAACCAGCGGGCTGTGAGCCAGGCAGAGGAAACTCACACGCTCAGAGATCTTTCCCTGTCCACAAGAGTACCTCTTGCTACATCCTAAGTGTTCTCCCAAGTCCTCATCAGGTCACAGGTGTTCACCTTACTCACATACCTGAGTATGCGTGAGCTGCCACACAGAACCCCATTCCAGATGGAAGACTCGATCTGTCTCACAGACACTGGCTCACACTGGCATCCCACACCTCGGGCAGCAAGAAGTAAACCAAGAGAACCCAGGGAGGTGCTTTCAAAGGCTAGGATTTTCCCAGGCCTCAATGAGGGGGAAGGGAGATGACATAAACGAAGGTTCTAATGCCTTGAAAGGTGAGAGGGCAGCAAGTCCCTGAGCTGGGCCAGAACAAGTCCTAAGAGCGGAAACTAAAGAGCTGGTAAAGGGCCAGACCAAAGGAATCTGACCTTTCTGGTCAAGGCAACGGGAACCATAGGATTTGCATAGTTGCAACATGGTCAAAGTGGAGCAGGTCACCAGAGGCAACAGTCCAGGCAATCCCCCCTGCAGCAACTGCTATGCAATACTGATAGCCACAGGAGGTTTACTGAGCACTTGAAATGTGACAAGTGTGACTGAAGAACTGAATTTCTAATTTTATTCAAAGTTAATTTTAAAAGCCATACGTAGTTGGTGGCTACCGACTGCACAGCAGGTTCTAGTGGGTGCTGCTGGACTGGACAAAGGCTGCAAGGCCATCACCTACCTTGCTGGCAGTGTGCAGTCCTACCACTGAGGGTGGGGGGCGATGGTGAGCCAGGGTCACTCTCCTGCGGCAGCATGGCTGGGCCCAATAATCAGAGCGCTGGAGCCATGCCTCAGGTATGCTGGTCTTGGCCCAGCCCCGGTGTCAATCCTTTCATCCTCGGGGCCAGAGTGAGCTGTGACTCGTGAGGGCACTCTCAAGATTCCATGTTTGCTCACAGTGGGGCTGTGAGGGCCTGCCAGGACGTCCCCACACCCTCCATTGTGATGACCCCGCAGAGCACAGACAAGCTGGGGACAGCTCCAGTCCTCCCAGGTGGACCAGCTATCAGGATATCATGGAACATGCTGCCAGCCCTCTGTGCAGGAGGCCTGAGGCTTAATCAACATCTGGGTGGGAGAACCTGCTCAGTGAAGCCTTCTCTGGCCAAAATGGAAAACCAGAGTCTGATACCAAAGGCGAGTACCAGGTAAGAAAAGCTAGAAGCCCCAAATCCTTTCTGGAATGGACTCTTCTTCCTCCAGTCCAGTTAGAAATTAAACTAACTTCTGATCTGGAAAACTTGGTAATAAGAAAAGCCACACAAGGATGGATAGCCATCGCCTGTTTCTGCTGACCAAGCCTCTTCCTCGAGTGACAGGGGAAAGAGCATCAGCACCTCCTGCCAAGGTCTTCCCAACTGCTTCATTGGCGATAAGGGTGTGATTTTAGAAAACTCTGAAGACCATGTCCTGTTCACCCTGCCCCTCATTTCAGGCTCTTAGCAACCATCTGGCTTTACAAGTGAATTCTATCAGGCTTCTGAAGCTGGTGACAAAATAGACACAGGAATGTCCTCTTGGGTACACAAGTTCCAGCCCATGACCACAGAGGACTGGAACCAATAGCACAAGCAGGGATCTGATGGCAAGAGAAAGCTAATGAAGATGGCATATGCCTTCAGAGGAAATCAGAAAACATGGTACAAAGGCCCTTTCATGCCACTACCTCCAATGGTCAGAGATAAGACCATGATTTCCAAGCAGCAGACTACAATACCAACCCAGAAGTCAAATGAAGGCTTAAGAGGGCAATTTCTATTCAACAAATATTTATTGGCACCTACTGGGTACCAAGCACATGACACAGAAATGAGTAAGACGAGGCGCTGACCTTGAGGCATTTTCAATCTTTTACAGTTTCTTGAGAGGCAAAAACAATCACCTCTTCTCCAATGAACTTATTATGCCACCTTCTACCACAGACCAACTCAAAGTTTGGTCCAAGAGACAGCCGAGTGTGCTGTCAGCACAGGGGAACCAACTAACTAGGGTGGCCATTTATCTAGACTAGGATGTTCTACGGTCCTGGGGTGGGGGATGAGAAGACAGTAGCCTGAATGCTAGCATTATGGGCACCCAAGGGCTTGGATTGCCCCATTCCAAAGGCAGACTTTCATTCAATACCCATTTTAACAACCTGGTTCCCAAATCCAGGCCTCAAAGTAAAGCCAGCTCTTCTGCTGACCTGGTGGAAGGGAACTACCAGCCCGGTTGTCTTTGCCTACTTTTCTCTGACCTCCTGTGTTCAGCCACTCATACTCTCATGCATGCCTTCAGAGGTGCCTGCCCTTCTGCATGCATTAGCTGGCTTGTTACTGGTCACAAACCTCTGTGCATACTCTGAAGAATGCACTCCACCAAGACAAGGAAGTAAACCAAGAGGGGAGGTTGCATCAGATCCAAGAAGGAACACAAAAGAAAGGAAGAGGAAATTCCCAGGAAGAAGGGGAATCAGAGCCAAGGGAAAAGGATACTTCCCAAGAGCAACACAGAACTGTTCAGCAGAACTGAGGTGTTAACACAATAAGAACAGCTTTCCACCAGTGGCACAGGTTCCACGGCATTGTCAGGGGCTCAGGGGAGAGTCAAGGAACTGACTGAAGAGATAAAGAGTAAGTAAAAGTAAGGGAATTAACTAGAAGAGGAGGAAGGAGGGACAAGAAAACAAAGGAAAACAATGAACTACACAGTCATAAGCGATGTTTATTTATATTATAATATATATCCAGAATAGTAACTTGACCAATGATTGTGCTACCTCTATACTGAGAGAAAAAGGAAAGAAAAAAGTGTAGGAATCAGCTAAGTTCTTACTTCTCACATTAGAAAAATCAAATAATATATTTTTTTAAAGTATACTATTTAGAAACAGAGGTAAGTAGCCCAAAGAATTGAAAGCAGCTATTACTGGAAGAGCACAGGAGGTAGGCCTCCTTTTCTTTTGTTGTTGCTGCTGCTGCTGCTGCAGTGCTAAGACTTGAACAGGGTTAGGCAAGCACTCCGCCACTGAGCTACATCCCTAGCAAATGAGTATCCTTTCCAGAGTCAAAAAGTTGTATCTTTCTACAAGCAACACTGCAATTGAAAATGCACTCTAAAGCTATAAACAAGAAGCAATGGATTCTTGTTAACCATAATAGTACATACTAGTGCCAACTCATTTATATATACAAACTTATGATGTTTTCTTTTTCCATAATAACGGATGCCAATTTTACTTTAAATACCCTCAAATTGCCCATGGACATAACAATAATAATCCAAAAGAGAATATGCCTACTGGTGGACCTTTTCAGAGCTAAGGCAACAGTCTCTCCACCCCACTGAGGCCAGTCAGCACCAGGTGGCAGGTTCCTCCTTGGGACTGGTCACTTAAGAAAGATTTTAATACCCACTGTAAGGGTTCTACGAGTGACATAAAGAAAGGATGGAGGGAGGGGTAGGGACTCAAATTTCAGGAAAGATACTACAGAGAGATTCAGAACCTAATGTATGTAATACACCTGCAGCCTCTGGCAGCTGGTGAGAGAGAATGGGGCGCTAAGGCTCCCTTGCACATATAATGTAGTGAATTAAGTACAGAGTCCTGTGTGTAGCAGGGTAACGGCAAGGTTGAGAAATGTCCTCTCAGTCCTTTTCTGTGCACCCTGGTTTAGATGAGAAAGGGTGTTTAGGAGGGAAGAATGTCAGGGGAGAATGCAGAGGGAATCAAGGGAATGTCTCTTAGAAGCAGTGGCACTAGAGCTACAATAGTGAGAAGCCATGCCAGAACCTGGGGGAAGGAGAGAGGGAGGGAGGGGCAGAAAGTTCCAGGCAGGGTGAACAGGTGCCAAAGTCCTAAGGCAGGAACAAGCGTAGCTGACTGGAGACGGCAAGATGGGGTCTGAGCTCTGCTGCTGCCAGAGAACAGGTTCCTGGCACCCCCTGCAGAAGCAGTGCTAAAGATAAGAGCTCACAAGCACCCAGAGGAACTGGGGTCATGGATTTCCTCCTGAGGGGGAACTCCCGGACCCAAAGGACTTTCATTCTTAATTCATAAATACAAGTTGCTTTCAGAATTTATCCCAGAGAGAGAGAGGGATGTAGCTCAGTGGTAGACAATTGCCTAGCATGTATGATCCCCAGCACCACACACAAAACAAAAAATCTATTCCAGAAACAAGATGCCCTTGGCTGGGACCATGACAGGTATTCTGTGTGAAAAACAGAGGCACACTTTTTACTCAGAGTTCTCAGAAAATGTGTCGTTGGGAAGCCCTGCAGCCACACTGCACATTAGCTTAGGGAACCACTGAAACCCTACCCTAGGTCCCCACTCATCAAATCAGTAGGTTCCAGGAGGTGCCCTAACCCCTAGGGGAGGGTGAACACATACACACAGCACAGCATGAGCTCTTGCCACTTCTTTGAATCAGACTTTACAAAAACAACCTTGCTCTCCAGCCAACATAAACCATAGGCAACTGAGGGCCTTATATGGCACTAAGCTTTCTTAATCAGAAACAGATAGATGGGCTAGAGTTGGCAGGAGGAGGGAAGGGGGGGGACACAGGGGACAAACACACACACACACACACACACACACACACACACACACACTTATACAAGAATGGAGAAAGGGAGAGGGGGGAGGGAGGGAGGGAGGGAAGAAAGAAGGGAAAGGAAAGAGAGAAGAAGGGTGGAGAATAGCATGGGGAACAAACTTGTTTGTCAAACAGTTTTTCATCCCTCTTCAGCCTTAGTAGTTTCCCAGCAAAGAGTTCCTACTGGGAGCCATGGTTTTGCCTTCTCCTATGTATGTTAGTTTAAGCCAGGAGACACCAGTAATCAGACTGCCAATCAAGCCACAGTTTTAAGAGAGTTTTGTCCACTTAGTCGCTGGCCCTTAGGTTGAACACTTCACATGAAACAGGGTTGCCTGGTTTCCTGAGAAACCAGCAACTGGAGCAAAAAGGGGTCCTCGCTCCCCAGGGCAGAGGTCCTGACCCCTAGTTCCCCAGCTCACTGGATGGCCTCAGTCACATGCCTGCCTGGCCCAGAAGGAAGCACTGGGCCTCTGCCACAGACCCAGAATAGAAAAGGCAGCCCCAGAGGCCTCTTAAGCAGCCAACCCATCCACAAAGGCCATGGCAGCTTCTAGGGTGGCTTATTCTCTCCCTCTCCTGATTAGGCAGCCGCAACAGCAGGACCTGTCTTGGACACTGCAACCACAAGCACTTGGCTCTCCTAAAGGATGCCACCTGCTAAAAATAGCACCAGCACATGCTTGGCCGAGTGGGCCACACCAAAGTCAAAGGACAAAGCAGCGAGATTATCCTCAGCCCTGCCTTTCCTCTTACAGACAGCTCCAGGCACATACACAAGTGCCGTTCTCTCCAAGGAAGCTCAAGAAGTGGGAGTCACTATTTTGTCAGAGGGGCAAAGAAGAATCACAGAAGATGGAGCCGCCTTCACAAGGGTTGCTGTCCCTGGTACTCACAAAGGCACACCCAGGTCAAGGGCAGAGAGAAGGGGTGGGGGCTGGGACAGAACTTGCTGCCTCCTCCAACCAGGACTGGGATACTCCTGGGTGACAGCCTGTTGAGGGCCAGGGGATGGTCTCATGACCTCCATGTGAGGTCTGACAGGCATGTTATTATTAGCTAAAGAATGAGTGTCTTCAAGGTTGTCTTTTCAACCCGCTCAGTCTTGGAGGAGTTCTTATCCCATTTTACAGGAAACGAAAGTTCATGATCTTTAATTCTTACCTTTCCAAAATCTTATTTTGCCATCATACACTTTTGAAATGGGCAAGTAATGTCTATAATAAAAAAGCCTCAGACTAGGTAGCTGTGCCGTAAGGTCTGAGAAACTGCCTTGGATTTTCTGC